ATTAGACCGTTGGCATAACTGGGTGAACGAGTTACAACACTTTTCCTCCTTTGAGATTCCACGATGTTTGCGACATCCCTCCCCTGATGAAATAGAATTACATATGTTCTCTGATGCTTCAAAGATGCCTATGCAGCTTGTTCTTATCTAGTTTGTCATTATGAAGGAAACACGCCAACATCAGTATTGATTGCATCTAAGAGTCGAGTTGCACCAGTTAAATCGATGACTATTCCTAGACTTGAGTTGATGGGTGCGGTTATTTCAACACGTTTGGCAAATACCATACTCAAGTCAATTGTAGTATCCAAAGTGATTTACTGGACAGATTCTACGAACGTTCTATATTGGGTGAAAAACCAGAGTCGCAATTTCAAAACCTTCATCGCCAACAAAATCGGGGAAATCCAAAATTCGACAAACCCAGAACAGTGGAGACATGTCCCGGGAGAACTCAACCCTGCTGATTTGGCAAATCGAAGAATAAAGGTTTCTGAGCTAGCACAAAGCAGAGTATGGAAAGAAGGACCACAGTTCGTTTTAGAAAATGAGACAAATTGGCCTGCACGCGTACTTGGAATGGATACATTATCAAGTGATACAAAAGAAGAGTGTAAAATGGTACGAACAAGTGTCACCCAAGTATTGGACATTAACGAATTGAATCCACAGAACTTTTCAGATTTCAGACGGCTTGATCGCGTAACAGCATGGGTACGGCGTTTTACGAGCAACTGGAAATGTCGACCAGAGCAAAGAGATATAAGCAAACGTTTATCGATTGGAGAAGTAAAGAAAGCAGAATTTTATTGGTTCAAACGTGCGCAAACGGAAAGGTTTCAAGAACACTAAAGGACGGAAAAGTCTGGAGAACTTGAATCCCATGAAAGACAAGGATGGACTTCTTCGTATGGACGGACGCTTACGCCATGCAGACATACCGTACGAAGGTAATTAAACGTCCAGTGATTTTACCCAAAGAACACCCTATCACGGAACTTGTAGTAAGAGCGGTTCATGAACAACTCGGACATGGTTCTGGAGTAGAACACACTCTTTCCGAATTACGTAGTAGGTTTTGGGTGATAAGAGGACGGTCTGTAGTACGTAAAATTCTTAATCATTGCCAAGTGTGTAAGAAACGCTTTACGGCTAAAACTGTTGGTCAAGTGATGGCACCGATGCCGTGACCAAGAATAATTTCATCGATGAAAGCCTTCTGTCGAGGAGGAGTAGACTACGGAGGCCCATACCTGACAAAACAAGGTCGCGGCAAGAGTAGAGCAAAAAGATATATCTGTTTATTTACTTGCCTCGTGACACGCGCAGTACATTTGGAAATAGCCTATGCGTTACACACAGATTCGTTTATGAATGCATTCGCCCGGATGGTGTCACGGAAGGGGACGCCTTCGTACGTTGTATCAGATAACGGTACTAACTTCGTTTCAGGAGAACGAGAACTGAGAGAACTTGTTGAACAATTAGACCAAGAGAAGATTGTTCGGGACAGTTCTCGATTCTCTCACATCGAATGGCATTTCAACCCTCCAGCTAGCCCACATTTCGGGGGAGTCTTTGAAGTCATGATAAAAAGTGCCAAGAAAGCTATAAAAGGCATCCTAGGAAATGCGGACGTCTCCGATGAAGAGTTACATACAGCCATTTGTGGAGCTAAGAAGTTATTGAACTCGAGGCCTATCACGACGTAAGTTCGGATTCCAACGACTTATGTCCTCTCACTCCCAATCGTTTCATCCACGGACAGCTTGGAGGAACATTTACGGTGGAGGCCACCAGTGGCGTAGCCAGCCCGACAATTTAGTCCCGCTATGCAAATTCAAAATTATTATCATTATTCATTTCTTTAGAAATTGATTGTTTTCACAGTCAATGAGCACGAAAATATTTGCATAGCGGGACTAAATCTTCAGGAGGCAACTGAGGCAACTGAGGAAGAAACGTTCAACCCCCGCAAAGATGGCATCGTGTTCAACAACTAATCGGTCTAGTTTGGAAACGTTGGAGAAGGGAATTGCTACCGACTTTAAATCGTAGAAAGAAGTGGTTTCATCCCACACATAGTATGAAGGAAGGAGATATTGTTTTAATGATTGAGCCAAATGCAAATCGCTGTGACTGGCCGTTGGAACGTAACGTATTACTGAGACTTTTCCTGGGAACGACGGCTTGGTGCGAGTGGTCAGAGTTAAAGCTAAAGGAAAGGAGTATTTGCGACCGGTTCATAGATTATGCCGTGTTGAGTACGTTTAGTAATAAACCCGAGGATATCTAGGAGATTGTACAGAATTACCTGCGAAAGAAACGGAGAGTTATGAAACTAAACTGACAATATAATTTCATATTAGCGGAGCTAGTTACTCCTAGTTTTGTTAAAGTTTTAAGAATGTTAGACTATCTCGAATGTTACACATTCGGGAGGCGGATGTTACGAACAGATGACTATAGATGAAGTAGTTATAGTTTCCCGCCAAATATCGCGGGCTCGGAAACGTTGGGAAAAATAGATTTTATACTTTTATATTCTAACCGAGTTGGCGGTTAAAAACTCAATAAATTTGTCATAAAAATAAAGATTTCGAGTTAAAGTAGGCAAGAACCAGCAAATCAGACTATGTTCTCAAATTGGTGAGAACAATCTTAATTTACGCTTTTCTGCTGTCTGATTGGCTACGCGAGCGGTCCGGATGTGCGCGTACGGACCGCGCGAGATTTAAAGCCGTAGCCCAGTGTTTTTATTTTTAAGACGAATTTAAAGGCTGCTTTTTAAAACATTAAAATGTCCGCAGACGATAAAGAACACAGTGAAAGTGAACTAAAAGGTACTTTCAATCAATACGCGAGACAAGAAAAATTGAAAACATACCTGCCAAAAAATTAAATGTCCAGCTCTTCATTTAATTAAATTAAATGTCAATCTTGGCGATGACTGTGACTCGGACTAAACATAACCTTTTTGAGGCTGACTCGTCCACAGTCGCTCGGGTAGTCGGGTTGGATCATGGGAATGGGTTAGGTTTCTGAGCGACGGGGAAATCCTGTATTCAAGATGGCGTCCATACATAATGGCGGACGCTATATCCAAGGAGCGAAAATTGGGGCAGAATCTTTTTAAAAGTGTTTCATGAAGGTTTATAGTGCATAAAGTTGTCTGTCCAGGTGCAAAATGTGTGCGAAATGTGTTATTTTTTTAAGAAAATGGATTACCGCAACATTTTCGTGTGGCTCAAAATAAAAATTAAAAATATCATGACGAACAGACGGATGAAACGCATGTGTGGCGAAGAAACGTTGTGATATATTCAATATCAGTATGAGAAAGAATCAAAGGCGACTTAATATCATGCATGAATAATCTCTTTTATAGTTACTGTATGAATAAGTCTTGTTTAGCAAGTTTTTGCGTCCTTAATATTTTTTTGCAGTATATAAAAATATGCACATATTTTAATATTTGTTGGTTTACAACTATTAGGTATTGAGTGGATGTTGGTTCAAAGTTTCTAGGGAAAGAGATATTGATGATTTGCCGAAGATGCGAGGAAAGCTTCCAAAATTTACAGAGTAATAAAATCTGGGAAATGCAGACCAAAATAATCCATGCAAAATATCAGTTGCTATACCAAACAAACAATGGACGGACACATGGAAACATTGAAGGGAACCTTGTTGTGGTTGAATGCTCTTTTACAAAGATAAACATAAATCGAGACTTAAATATGAACCTAAAATAGCTCAAATTTGTCAAAGCATGCCCCTCCCCCCTCCGAATATAAGCCCCTCATTGTCTTTATAGCCTACTGGCCTTACTATGTTATTCACAGTGTGTTATTAATACATGTTTGTTTCCGGTTTATGACTGACTTGTTTATTATATACTAACACATGACTGAAAAGAGCACCCTTGTACTATATGTTACCACCAACTTAGGGCCATCCCAACTAACGACTGGGGCAACAATAATAAAAATTAAACCAAGAAAAGTACCAAAATTTTATAAAGGAAACATGAATATATTCTGTGATTTCCAAACCAAAAACATACTAAAAAATATGTACGCATGCGTACATGTGGCTAGCCTGGTAAACTTTAACTCCCCAAACCCTCCTCCAAACCCAGAAAGCCTGCCATGCTGGTTAACTTTAATAGTAATAAGAAGATACACCACGATGGTCAGAATGCGCAAATATTCTCCCACTTGTGCGGGCTCATTTTGTCAGTGGAGTTTCACGGTATACTTGAAAAATACCGTGTCATATCTCGTCGCTTCCCATGTAAATAGCGAATTCATGAATAACACTTGAATAAACACAAATATGTGAATTTGCACGCTAGGCTTTTGAATATAACGATTGTAAAAAGTTTCCGTGTGATCTATTAGCAATTTAAAAGATACCTAAACTGTAATACTGCCATATATTTAATCTCGCGTTTATTATTTGCGCAGCAGCAGTTTTGCCGTGGAATTAAAATTGCGTGTCATATGATATTTTTAATTAGTAGGCAAATAGCGTTTGAGATATCGCAACATTAGCAAACAAATGCACTGAAATCTTGGTTAGCACACCAACTTTTACCACTTTTAATGCAATATTACTAAACTGTAATACTGCCATATATACTTCATCTCGCGTTTGTTATTTGCGCAACAGCAGTTTTGCCGTGGAATTAAAATTGCGTGTCATATGGTATTTTAATAGGCAAATAGCGTTTGAGATATAGGCCTAGCAATATTAGCGAACAAATACACTGAAATCTTGGTTAGCACCAACCTCGTTCCCAGGGCTTTTCCCTTTTTGTCATTGGGAAGGCGGGAAAAGGCCACTGAGCTATACTATAACTGGAGGACGTGCTCGGCATCAAAAAGTGTCGCCAAAAACATGGCGGATTTTGACGCCATATGACGCCAGAATTACGCCATCTGGTTCCTTTTGCTCATGGTATTACCACTGAACAAGGCTCAATTTTGAGCCCGCTACCACTTTCACATCCCCCGGGTTTTTTGCAAAAGTCTTTTATTTATATTTACAGTAAATTCACGATGTTCTGACTTCTGAATCGTTTTACTGTTTTCGAGATTTATTTTTCTGCCTTTGACAATTTGTTCGTCGACTTACAAGTCGCATTGTGTTATTCTCGCTCCATGAAAGACAATAAACAAACATTAATACCTCGCAAGATATGGGCGAAGACGATATTTGATTCAAGCGGAGCCTGCCTGGGGTTCTTATATCTTTATTAAACAGGTAATTTATCTTTAATATTTATAATTCGTTTGATTAATTTCACATAAAATTAGTATGATGAAATGCACAGTTTTATAGAGCTACTAAGCCTCCATATTAGCTGTCAATATTCATATGCTGCATATGTGCTCTCAGCCTCTGCTCCAGCAGCAATATTTGCAAGCCATAATTTAATATCCTTTTACTGTTTTACATCGTGACAAATTCCCTTGATAACGTACATTTGTATGGTGTAGTATTGTTTATTGTACTCTTTCAAAATGCCCTCATATCATTCGGTTATTTCCTTGCCGTTATTCATGCACAACAGGTTTAAGGATAGGCTTGACAGGCTTGTGATCGAAAAATATGCAACTTTAGGTCCCTGGTAGGAATGGGCTATTCCATTTAATATCCGTACCCCCCCCCCCC